CCGGCCATGCCTATATGGGATCCGAACCCTTGGCTTGGTGTTATCAGCACCATGCTCAGCCAGTGAGCGAACCGGCCATGCCTATATGGGATCCGAACCCTTGGCTTGGTGTTGTCAGCACCATGCTCAGCCAGTGAGCGAACCGGCCATCCCTATATGGGATCCGAACCCGGGGCCTTGGTGTTATCAGCACCGCACTCTCCCGAGTGAGCCACGGGCCGGCCCTCACCTTCCCATTATTGTGAAGAGTTTGGATTTGTCTAGTTGAATGAGATGAAGGTGAGAGAAAATGTTAGAGGAGCGAGGATCCAGGGGAGAAGGAGGGAGAGAGTGCAGGGGTGTGTGTGTTGCCCTACACAGGGCTGTGTGTCTGTGGTAGTGATGTGTAGCTGTGCAATGTGGGTCTTGGTGCTGGGGGGCGCAGATATCCAGGCATACAAAACTCTCTGTCCTTTGAAGCTGCTTTTTTGTGCACACCCTTCTTTCTGGTGGGACCCCCAAGCTGGAAGTTTCCCTGCCTCAGTTCCTTCCCTCTGGAAGTCCAATCTACTTTCCCTTCCAGGATGTCTGAAGGAGGGAGACAATGCCCTCTAGTGGGTATGGGAAGCATGGGCAGCTGCAGCTTCCCCAGCCCAAGCCTCAGCCTAGTCAGGCCCCCCAAAACCCAAGTCTGGAACTCATCTCTGAAATACTTCCTGAGCAGGTGCAAGGGATGAGGACCCTGTCCTCTGAGAGCTTGAGGCAGGAAGAAAATGCACACAGAACAGGAAACAGAAAAGCAACCCATGAATTCAAGTAGGAGAAGCCTCAGAACAACAGCTGAAGGGGCAGGGTGGGGGTGGGGGCGGGGTTCTCCCTCTCCTCATCTCTGCAGTGACCTCTCTCTGGTTGCCCTGGGTGTTCCTGGTCTTTCTCACTTTCTGTTTCTCCCCACGGTCTCGGGGTCCTACTCTTTTGCCCTCATAATACCTGCCCTCAAGGAGCTGCTGGTCATTACTCACACCCAGAGGGCCTTGAGCAGAACTGGACCTTTCAGTCTATTCCCCAGGTGGGACTAGCTGTGCTCTGTGGGGTCAGGGAAGGCTTCTTGGAGAAAGTAACATGTGAGTAGGGTCCTGGAAAATCAGTAGGAATTCTCTAGATGGAGTCCAGGGAAGGCACAGAACTGTGGATCAGCCCAGTGTGTCTGGGGTGACTGGAAGCTGGACTGGGATGGAGGGGCAGTGGTAGGAAGTGAGGCTGGAAGGTAAATTGCTTTCACCTTCAAAGGTACTGGGGAGTGAGAGAGGTCTTTAAGCAGGAGAATGGTCAGAATCACATAGCATGGACTGAAGGTAGGGAGAATCTGCAGGAGGCAGGAGTTAGGGAGACTTGTGGGAGGCTGTTGTTTAGGCAGAAAAGGATGAGGCCAGTCTAAGGGCAGTGCTAAGGATGGAGAGGGGCCAGATCTCAAGACTTCTCTTCTTTTGGGGCCTCTGTGTCCCTGGCAGCAAAACTGGGGCCAAAGGCTCCACATCAGTCTGTTCTGCTAGCACGTGGCACCCTGCCTACCATCCCCAACACACTCCAGGGTCTTTGCATGGAAATTTGAAAGGGAAGAAGTGTGGGAGCAGGGAGGAGGGTAGAAAAGGAGGAGGGAGAATGGGGCCTGGGGCTAGGGGATGATTAAGGAATACCCTCACTGCTCTTCCTCTGGCCCTGCAGAGGAAGGGTTAATCTGACTTACCTCCCTCCCTCCCTTCCTCTCCTCTCCTTAGGTCACCTTCTTGGCCCTGGAGACTTGGCTGGTGGCTCAAGTTCCTCAGTCAGTGGCCCTGAGTAATCAGAGCCCACATAGGGGCCAGGGGCCTGGGGGAAGGGAATGGTAAATTCAGGGTAGGGGGAGCCTTAGAGATGAGGGGCTGGGGGTCTACAAGGGTAAGGGTTTTGGGGGGAACCCCAGGTCAGCTCCCAATACTCTCCACCTGACCCAGGATCCTCTGTCTTTCCATTGATCTCAATTTCTTTCACGTACCAGAAGAGAATCCCTCGAACTCCACTTCTGAATTGTTGGGGGTGGGCACGCTGGGAAGAGTAGTGGCGATCTGCCAGGAAGCGTTTCAGCTGCAAGAGACAGGGTCCCTCCCCCAGTGCCGGGAACTGGCCAGAAATGAGTCTGTGGTCAGTGAGAGACCTCTGCTAATGGAACCTGGGCCGCCCCATAAGCCACAGAGGGGGGTGGGGGAGGAGAAAGCAACCTAATGCAGCTCAGCAGGGCGGAGGGGAGGGGACAGACCTGAAGTAGAGCTAGGCGTCAGGGGAGTGAGGGGGGAAATGGGGTCAGGGGCTGGCTGGAGGGAACTTGGGGGTCCAGGGAGTGATTTCAGGGGAATTGGGTTTCAGGGAATAACTGAAAGTTAGGGGGGCAGGACAGTGATTGGAAGGAAGCTGAGATCAAAGGAATTATTAGAGAAGGCTGTAAGGGTGGATTGGGAGAATCGGGAGTCAATGAAATAACTGGTGGAGAATTATGGGTCAAGAGAGGAATTAGAGTTCTGAAAGAGTGTCTGCAGAGTGTGGGGGCTTGGTATCCCAGAGGAATAACTGGACCACATGGGAATTAGGGAGAGGACCCAAAATTGGGAGGGGGGAACTGAGGGGCGTTCTGGGAACAGACTGGAGGAGGAGAGAGCATGGGTGTGTGTCCTGGCAGGGGCTGAGGGGGAGTGGGCAGGGACTGTGGCTGGTTGAGGTCATTGTGGCATCGGGAGCAAAGGACTGTGCTGGGTCCCACGTTACCTGGGGAGGTGGGTACCAGGAGTCCTAGCTCTGGGCTTTTCCAGAGTTTCCACTCTGTATTAAATCCTGTCTGTCCTACTGGAGCTGGTGACAGGAAAGTGCTAGGACCCCTCCTCTCCATCAGCCTCCCTTTCCCACCACCATCCATTATTCATTAGCCCACACGCCTGCCCTCCCTGGCAGAGCAGGCCGGTTCTCCTCCCCACGCCCCGCCCCACCCCAGCCACACTGCCACGGAGGCCCCGGTGAGGAAGGACGGCCCGCCGGCCCCGCAGAGACCTGGCTGAAGGGCTGGGTGGCTGGCCTGCTGGACCCCACCTGGGGTCACATCTCCTTCCCTCTGGCACCTTCCCCCTTCCTCCTGCCAATCCCCTGGTACCAGGAAGCCCCTGGAGAAGATGCCCATACAGATATTCTGCTCTGTGTCATTCTCCTCTGGAGAGGACGCCCCAGGGACCTTGGGAGATGTTTGGGGTCCACAGCAGCAGCAGCAGCAGCAGCACAACTCAGAATCAGAAGCGGAGAAAGAGGCAAAGGAAAAGGAGGCAGAAAGGGAGGAGGTCAACGAGGGGGATCCGCCCGTGGACTTGGTGGCCTTTGCGAAGAGCTGCACCCTCCATGGCGCCAGCCACATCTTTGTGGAAGGGGGTCTGGGGCCAAGACAGGCCCTGTGGGTAGTGGCCTTTGTCCTGGCACTGGGTGCCTTCTTGTGCCAGGTAGGGGACCGCGTTGCTTATTACCTCAGCTACCCGCACGTGACTCGGCTAGATGAAGTGGCCACCACAGAGCTGGCCTTCCCAGCAGTCACCCTCTGTAACACCAATGCTGTGCGGCTTTCCCAGCTCAGCTACCCTGACTTGCTTTATCTGGCCCCCATGCTGGGACTGGATGAAAGTGATGACCCTGGGGTGCCCCTTGCTCCACCGGGGCCTGAGGCCTTCTCTGGGGAGCCCTTTAACCTGCACCGCTTCTACAATCGTTCCTGCCACCGGCTGGAGGACATGCTGCTCTATTGCTCCTACTGCGGGGGGCCCTGTGGCCCTCACAACTTCTCAGTGGTGAGTGGGGGCCTGTGCCTGGCACAGTGCCCTAAAGTGTCTGCCATGGCTGTCCCTGACTGTCATCTACTGGGGCTGACCCGGTGACCATGCTGCCCCCCCCACCTCACTGGGCCTACCTGGGCCAGAGTTCACCTGGGAGC